GGAATAGGTAGTAATCGGAAGGCGCCATGTCTGGGCTATACGCCGCGTGCGGAAGAAGTTCCCAGCCTAACGCAAAGATATGGTCCTGAGTCGCTTTCGCAACATGTGGTCGAGCATTGTCATGAAGCAAGATCACTTTACGACGTCCTTGGCCAGTAAATGGCCTCTTTTCTTCTAATGCATCGCTCAAATTGGTCAATTGTTGTTGGTAGCGGTCTGCCGTGATTGTTTCACCCGGTTGTAACAACTCGTAGTACAACACACCTTTCCAATCCCACCAGATACAGAGCAAAACCTTCTTGGCGTGGATATTGGGCTTTGGCGTCGATGTCGAAGGTTGACCAGGATCAACCCATGATTTTCTACATTTAGGGTTATCATAAAGAATCCACTTTTCATCGCCTGTAATGATTTTGTGCAGAAAATCTTTTTTCCGGAACTTTGAAAGCAAAGTGAGTGCAGTGTCACGCCGTCGATTTTTGTTGTCTTCGGACAATTCATGCGGAACCCATCTGCCTTCCTTCTGAACCTTTCCCATCGTACGTAATCGTACGGAAATGGCTTGCTGCGTAACGCTAAGCTGTTCTGCAAGCTCCTTTTCAGTGCGCAGAGTTTATATCCAGCAGTGCTTGCAATTCATCCGTTTCAATCTTTTCAGGGCGTCCAGCACGCGATTCATCTCTAAGACTGAAATCTCCTTGGCGAAACTTTTGATACCATCTTTTACATATAGCATGACTTACAGCGTTTTCTCCATATGCAGCACAAATCATTGCAGTAGCTTCAGCAGCATTTTTCTTCAGATGAAACGCGAAGTGGACGGAAAATCGAATATGCTCTTTTGTTATTGCCATTGTGAACACTACTGATTTTTGAGATTATGTGCATCAAACGCCAAACCGTATGGCATTTTAGAAGGCCAAATGTTAACGCTTTAAAACCGCAAAAGGGCGGGAAGATATATAAAATTTAAATTGTTATTTTGGTTGTATGAAATCTAAAGCTCAGAACTTTTTTGTACACCAATAGATATTAAAAAACGTCGGGCTGAAAACCGAACCCTGAAGAGTACACTTGAAGGAAACTCTAGGGTCAGTGAGAGACCCGTGATGCAGAAATTGCACAGTGCGAGAGGAGATAAGATTCCAAATGAACGATAGCGTGAGCGAAGGGATATTCATAAGAGAGAGTTTCTGAAGAAGGATGTCGAGCAGAACATTGTCAAAGGTTGATTTGATATCAATGAACAAAGCAACCGTATCCTGTTTTTTGAGGAAGCCGGAATGGATGCTGGCTGTAAGTGTTGTGAGGTTGTCTTGACAGGATCTGAATTTGCGGAAGTCAAATTGATTATTGGGAAGGGTGTTGGAGAGAGGGGATTCAATGGCTGCGTTCAGCAGAACGTTTGTTTTACAACTGTTGGAAGTTTCCTTCGCGCTGATTGGATCATACTTTTAGATCTAGAAGAATGGTCCTATCCCAACAAACAATCATAAAACGGTTGCAAAACTGTTGAGTCTGCTGAACGCAGCCAATGACCCAGTAGAGCCTGTTAAGAATCATCTATCTTTTCTACGATTTTAAGGACCCACGAAGTGAAAGAAATTGGGCGAACCCCGTTACTACTAGGCTTAGGGATAAGGTGTATGTACAAGTGAGTGTGACCATTGAGTTGGGAAAATGGAGCATCGAAAGAGGTTATTAATGATCATGAGAAGACACGACAGAAGAGTGACAGGCAAAGCCTTAAGGAAACGATAATCGAAGCGATCTAGGCCTGGGCTAGAAGTGGATTTGACGGTGTGAAGTACAGCTTGCAATTCGTCAATGGAAAAAGGAGCATCCATCCACAAAAGATCGCCCACATAGTTTTCAGGAATCACAGGCGGAGGAGGAGGACAGAAAGGGGGGCAGAGCTTATCAATTGCCTCCTGGATGATCTCAGTGTTCTCAAGACACCGATTGTGAGCGCTGGTGTTAGGCCGGAATCAGACTACGCATTGAAGATTGAGATTGAAGATCAAAGATTGAAATTTGACCAGTGAGGACAAAGGAATTTTAGCTCCTATTGTTTTGATTGGTCAAATTTCAATCTTTCAATCTTCGATCTCAATCTTCAATGCGTAGTCTGATTCCGGCCTTAGGTGAGCTCAGTCTGCGATTGCGAAAGCGCTTGAGCATGCGCCAAATCTCAGGAGTAGGAGTTAAATAATTAAGAGACGCACAGTACTTTTCCCAGCCCTCACGCTTAAATTTGCAGAGAGTGCGACGGCATTGACAAACCATAGAACGATAGAGGACATAATTGACCCATGTGGGAGTCTCCTTGAAAGTTTTGAGGGTCATGCTATGTGCCCTAATGGCGTCGGTACATGCTGGCGTCCACCAAAGAGCCGGAGGAAAGCCTTTTTTGGTGCAAAATGTCGTGAAGTAATGCGAGCGATTCGGTCTGGAATGCAAAGGAGAATAAAACTTTTGGATACGCAGTCGAAGAATGTATTATATTGAGTGAGAGGGTCATCGGGATTGATGGAGTTGATGATTCGAATAATAGCATCGGCGTTGTCATATAGATATTGTGTAATGTCGGACCACGGAGTGAGCATGATCTTGTAGGAGAAGATGTTAGCGATCATAACCAAGCAATTAACCAGGACCTCAATGGGGTAATGGTCGCTGCCAAAGAGATCCGATAGGATGACAGCATCGCAGAGAGAGGCCACACTGGAAGAGGCCATTGCCAGGTCGATCGTGGTGGGACTGCGGGGGAATGAGGAATAAAGGTAGGAGAGGATGAAGGATTAAGAAGAATCAAATATTAATCAACGATGCCCTCGCCGAGGATCCGCCCAGCGGTATTAGAGCGAACAGCCCCCCACAGGGGGTGATGGGCGTTGAAATCGCCCATGAGAATAGCAGGGTCATAACTACCAACAAAAGAGATGAGGTTGGAGAGTGCAGCCCTCGGAGCAAGGAGGTTGGGGTGGCTATACGCGCCAACTAAAACAAGATGAGAGTTGTTGAGAGAGAGACTAATAGCTAGGGCCTCAATAGAGCAATCAAGATAAGAGATGAGATCAATAATAGCATAAGTAATGGGATTACGAATTAGCACTAGCATACCTCTTTTACCAGATGAATTTGCATCAGTGCGGACGCAGTCGAATCCATGAACACAGAAATCTCGGTCCTCCCCAGCGCAGGTCTCTGCTAGAAAAATAATATCATAAGATTCTGCCATCTTGTCAACCTCAGCCTTCTTACCCAAAGCCTCCCGACAGTTCCAATATAACAGGCGCAAAGAACCCGATGCGACCATAGTGGAGCAAAAGAGTCCGGGCAAGTGATGTTAGAAGGAATTAGTGTCAGTGAGCGATTGGAGAGTATTCAAAATGTTTTGCAATCCAGTACTGAATTTAGAATTTTTAAGAGAATCAGGAATATTATTAACCATTTGAAGGAGAAGAGAGAACATAATGTGAATGATCTGTGCAAAGCCTAATGATTGGAAATCAAAAGTCGTAGAGAGAGGTAAGCCCCCGGGAGGGGAAGGGGGAGGGGGAGGGGGAGGTGTATGAAGAAAGGGATTGGGGGGAAGAGAAGAGAGAGGGGGGCAGGAGAGAAAGAAGTAGGAAGATTATGGGTAGAGGCTTGAGGGATCATTGCATTAGATATTCTACCGTTGGGAACGTAAAGTACCGAATTGTGCAGTTCCCGAAGGTCATTTCTAGAGTTATTGGGGGCGTATCCTGTAGAGATATAGTTATGTGTGGGACGAGATCTGGCATTAATCGAAGAGGCTTTGCTCGACACCCAATTTTCTTCGAGAGAATTGGCTTGAGCCTGGGATCGTGAGGGAACTGAGCGTACAAGGTCAGCATACCTTGATCAAAAAGTTCCCGGAATTACCACCAGGTGATGCTCTGAATCAGCTAATTTGAGTTCTTTTTTTTTGGTTAGATTGCCACATCTATCATTGACATTTCCACCAAATTTTATCGCCATAGCTTGACATTTATAAAAGTTACGCCGTCTTGAGTACATCTCCCTCTGCATGTGTTTTCGATTTTTTACAGTTTTAAAAATGAAGTTGAATTTGCAACGAGTTTGTATTAAATTTTTTGACCAAGAACGAAACGAATACCATCCAACAGCCATCGAATTCACCCAATATGGCTCCCTGCGATTTTTTTCTGTTTGATCGAGTCAAAAAACCAGCCGAAAGGAGGTAATGGAAAAATCGAAGACGGCTCTGATGGCTATATCGACAATAGAGAAATGTTTCAAGAGCTGGATCAAGCACTGGCATAAGTGCGTTGCAATCGATGGGGAGTACTTTGAAGGGGACAATATCACTTTTAATGAATAAACTTGTATTTTGAATTTTCTGAATGAATTACGGGAACTTTTTGATCAAGATGGTATGTGCGGCTGTCTGCCCGGTAAGTATGAGCATACTCAGGTATGTCGCCCAAGACGTCGTAAGGATTAAGGTGATATGTGTGATATGGGTCCTGATATGGGTGCGAGGGAGATAGGTGGATTTGGGAAGAGGTGGAAACTCGTTATTATTATTGTTATTAAGATAAAGGGAGTTAAGGAGGGGGAGGAAGAGTTAGAAGTCATACCAAACCTAGAGCGGGCCTCGAAATATGATACATTCTCAGTGGCGGCGTAGGCATAGATTTGTTTCTGACGCACGTATACAGGGCACTTAGGGGAGGAAGAGAGATGCTCTCCTCCACAGTTACAACATAGGGGCGGCATTTGTTTGCGGAGGCAGTCCTTTGAGTTGAGGTGCCTATCGTGGCCGCATCGGGCACAACGAGGCTTGCCCTTGTAGTCAGCGCTAACATGCCCGTAACGAAGACAGGAAAAACACATAAGCACTCTAGGAAAATAGGGAAGAACTGGGAAGTTGACGTATAGGAAGGAGATCGCACGCGATAGAGATTGATCTCGGAATTTGACCATAATGCGGGGTCTACAATACAAGTTGTAGCGGTCGCATGGTCTTAAGTTGTAGAAAATTGACCAATCACAGTTGATTATTCTTTTCATATTCGACTGTGATTGGTCAATTTTCTACGACTTAAGACCCTACGACTGTTACGACTTCTATTGCAGATCCCACAGTACGTGAGGGGATGGAAATGAGCTCGCCGTTCTTGCGCTCCCTAATATTTAGACGCTTAACGGATACAATCTTACAGGACGAATTGAATTCATTAAGAATGTCGTTCTCAGACACATCTAATGGGACGTTTTTAATAACCCCGGTGCACATAATACGGAAAAGAACAGTGAGGCCGCTTTCCCTAAATAGAGGGTAATCGAGAGCACGATTAGCCGTCGATAAATTCTTGAAGCTTACTGCGACCTTGTTGCGTCCGGAAGTAGTATGTGGGCAGCCATGGGGCGTCACAACAAACCCCCTCCACTCTACCCTTGGCGTCAAAACAAAACCCCTCTTCCCCCCCACCGAGCTGTCAAAACAAACCCCCTCCATGCCTCGCCAGACGTCATGGGCGTGGCCTAGACGGGTCCGTCTGGAACAATGGGGACTCTGATTGGGTGGAGACGAAAAAGGGGATAATGAGGTAATTAAATAGAGCATTTTGATTGGTTCTCTCCATGGCTGTCCACTCACTGATTGGTTGGCTCCATGGCTGCCTACGCTACGATTGGTGAGGGAGAGGTCGCGTTGAGAAAGAGAGAGAGAGTGAAAATGGGAAAGCCGAGGAAAATAGGACCCCCAGACATTTTTTGTCAGGGGAGAGGGGGAAGGTAGAGACATGAATAGCGTGAAGTTCTTTATTCTGTAGGTCATTTTTTGCTGCTGTAGCCCTTTGTCTGGGACGTACCGACGTTTATTATTTATGGGTACTTTTTTTACGAACATTTTCGAGACTAGAAGAGTCTCGCTTTCACTTGGTAGAAAGACTAACTAAAACAGGAATGAACATGATCACCTGATGTGACGTCTTCGATGTGATGATTCAGACATTGCGTTAAAGAAAAAATTCTTTATATTTTTTTCATGTATTTAATCTACATTATCTAAACTGTAAATGAGGAACGAGGTTAGGAAGAGTAAAGAACAGACGAAATTTATATGACAAAAACTTTATTTATTTTTTAAAAAAAGGTAATACATGAAATAGGTATTTTACTTTTTTAAAAGAGTACACGTTTGAACATGACAGCATACAGCATGACAATTCGTTAATTTTCGTTTACAATGAAGAAAAATTTTATGAAATAGTTGTACGATCATTCGATCATTGAGTTTATAATCAGAGGTAAACAGACTAAGAAACTGGCTAAGATTATAACCATTACACATAAAATATAGAAATACACAGCAGTATTGTCCGCAGGTTTGAGAAAGCATTCCTTGCAACGTCGTCGTATTCCAGCGATACGTGGTGGAGTTTCGGCGAAGACGTAAGAGGAATCTTGAGTCCAACGGCGGCAATCCGTAGCTATCAAAGTACGTTCCTGTACCGTGTTCATCGATGTAGAAGGCGACCCAGTGCTGACCAGGTCGATCGTGATCGTCCGTATTCCGTGTTAGCGACAATGGCAGTCGACCTCGTCCACACCCTCGGCAGTCGGTCGGCAGGATAGACCCCCGCATGTCGAACACTGAGATGATGCAATGCGTTTAAAACTTCCAACGAATTCATTTCTCGTCGTCGGAGAGCGTGAAAAAGGAAATGTTTGTGCAAATTCAGAATTTACCTCTTTTGGCGATGAGGGTGTTGTAGAGTTCTCAAAATTTAGCTTTCGTAAAACGCTAGTGATAGCTTTATCTCTATCCGTCGGCGTGACGAATTCTAGAAGATCTTTTTTCTCCTCGCCTGTCGCTTGTTCCTCTTCGCTTTGGTTCGCCTTTTCTTGCGTTACGATATTTTTCCGTCACGCTTCGATGTTGCGAAATTTTCGTGTTTCTGATTTTTAAATTGAATTAAAAATTGTTCGCTGTCTGGTTTTTCGCTCTCGACGTCGCTCTCGCTCCAACTTTCTGAG